ATCTCATCTCATCTCATCTCATCATCATTTACTCAAAGGATGTTTGTTTGTGCTTGCAGGCTTGAGGAACAGGAAAAGCTAGTAACAGCTGAGGGATTGTACAGAAGAGCTCTAGCTTTAGATGGCTCAAACCCTGAGGCACAGGAAGCCCTGCACAAGATCACAGACACTATACAGGTGAGCGGACACAACATACACACACACATGCACGCGTGCCTGAGGGGTTCAAAAAAGTTGGCAGGTATGCAGTGTGTGTATTTTAGGCTTAACTATTAAAGCAGATGCAGAAATAATGGTCCCATCAAAGTTTAATTTTAAAATGGTGTTATTTCTGTGTGACTTCAGAAAAATTAATAAAAAAGGTGGAAAAAATGAGCAGCTGCTTGTTGCTCTGACAACACAGAGAAAGGGATGGTATGAGGACAGATTAGTTTCTTGTAAAATTAGTTGAAAAGTTCCCAGAACTGTATTTATGTGTGCTCTGCTTAAATATGTTTAACATGTTTTTTTTAACAAATATGTGTGGCTCTGTGTACTGACCACGAGAAAACAGGCACACTAAAGTTAGCAGCTAACCGGTGACCACTGGGCACTAAGCAGCTACAGATCCAGATATTTCTGATAGCAGTAAGAATTTTTCCTTGCTCAAAAGAGGCCTTTTGGAGTGTTTACGCACATGATCACAGTAGAATTCAGTTAAAAAAAGAGTCAGTTTTAAGCCCTCGGTATACCTGCTGCATTGGTTGCTTTGTCCTACGCTGGGAATGCCACTGACGGCCACATCCATTTCTGTTTGCTGTGGCAGTGCACGTAGCTGCTGTAGTATTAAACGATATCCTGAACGATAGGTGAAAAAACCTCTACATCCGCACTGACAAGGGAAGAGAAGAAGTGAAAACTGGAAGCAAAAGAATTGCTGAGGTTGTTTTTACACAAATAACTTTACATAGAAAAATGTGAGGGAAATCTGTTTGTTTTATGTAACTGAAAAAACAAAAAAACGGTCCAATATATTAGATTTTTAAATCCCCAAATATTAGTCTGGAAAATCCTCTATCGGTTGGGCTGTGCTTTTCACTCCCATCAGCTGTATGAAAATGTATTACATTCAAAGACTGAAGAAAGAACTGTGAATATTACAGCATTAGTGGAAACTTGACAGGTCAATTTGAAGTAGTTGGTAAAAACGGGTGTTTGTAGTAATATTAATGAAGGCTGTGTTATATGCAGGTACTTCCCCTAATCATTGTTACTCCCCCTGTGTCCTTGTGTTAGAATGGCTGCTGTGAAAAGACTGTTGTTGACAGATTATCATAAGATTGTCTTACATGAAGCAGTGGATTTCGTGGTTAATCTGAGGCTTGTTAATTAAACACTAAACATTTGCACAACTTTAGCAGCTCAATAAATAAGGAACACCTCCTGTACCACGACAGTGTTAATTTTATACATGCAGGCCTTTGACACTCGTTCAGTGTTGACCTCTGTAACTTTTAATATAGGACATGAATTTAAAAAGGTTTACTAGTTATTAACTTGATTATCAGCTGTTTTAACTTAAGCCTTTTGTATGTAAGGTGTAGTATGCCACAACACTGAAAGGGCTAAGGTAAGTCTTTGGTAAGAAATGCATTAATAAAGGTGATTTATAATAGATTGCCTTATAAAATGTTTAATAGTGAAATGGCTCATTATAAAAGACTAACTTGTCAGTTTGTTGACAATCATAGCAAGTCATTTAATTTGCATAGCAAGACAATGAACTTTGATGGTAAAGGTAAAAATAACCTTAAATTTAGGGATAAAAATGAGGGTGAGGCATGTTGTGTGACTTTTGTTTTTTTTTTGTTTGGGTGGGGGGGGACTAAAGAATGGTAAATGGCCTGTATTTGTATAGCGCTTTACTTGGTCCTAAGGATCCCAAAGCGCTTTACACTAGGGGTGGACAATATAAACGAAATATACGATAGAAAATACGATATAAATTTGACCAACGATAGAGATTTTGACTATACCGCCCTATCGCGATAGCGCATGTTGATGACGTCATCAAGCTGCACCTGTTTTGGTCGAAAGCATTGCAACCATTACAACAACCATTATCATCTGCAAATTATGCCCGGCGACAGTCATAGCAAAGAGATGAAGCACTTTTGAAATATGGGGAAAGCCAAAAACTGCGCGTCCTCCACTTCCGTAACATTGATTCATTAATGTTGAATTCTCTCGCAGCTGCTCTATTCCCATGTTGTTGCAGTATATTGATAACTAACCTCGTATTGTGGATGCATAATCTCAGTTGTTCTCCTGACTGAAGTTTGGCCCGTGTATAGCATCCTGCTATGCGATTGCATTCGTCCCTGACCACCAGAATCCCTCACGTTAACTTTTATCGAGTGGAAAAAAGTTGGCGTTCATCCTCCAGCCTCACTGTGCTAATGTTATGCTAACATAGCTGTGTCGCTAGCAATCACGTAGCACAACATTATACACGAGGTAGTCCAACTTCAGTAACCCTGCAGACACCACTGCTGTTTAGTTTTCTGTCTTCATTTATGTTGGAAGTGGTAGCAGAGCTGTACGTTTTAATTAGCTTCAGAACATGGTCTGTCATGTTTAGGTGGAAACTAGCGAGCTAACTTCCTGTTAACTTCTAACTCCGTTAAATTTAATAACTTCTGTTTTCATAGATGCCTGGATGTTAAACTTAATTGTTACACCTGGTAAAGCAGCAACGCTGATCATTTTATTAAAGATGAAAGAATTTAGACCGTTTTTAACTCTGTGTTCGTTTGACTTTGGGACCTGAAGCGGACGGAGTTTTGGACCCAGATTACTCCGCAAAGCTCCTCACTACGGCAGCCATAATGCTCTGACAATCCATCAAGCAGTGCGGCTTACCAAAGTTGTACTAAAACATTTTTTAACAGATTTCTGCACGCCCAAATCGGTTCGAGGTCAGTAAGCACAACCAGAATTCATACATAAGGCACACTCTCGATTTTTGAGAAAATTAAAGGATTTTATGTGTGCCTTATAGTGTGGAAAATACGTTATAGAGAAGAAAATAATATATCGCGATATATATCGTTACCGCACGTGCTTCAAATTATACCGCGATATGGATTTTAGGCCATATCGCCCAACCCTACTTTACACTATACACAGTCATCCACCCATTCACACACACATTCGCACACAGAAGGAGAGAGTGAGACAGCAAAGAGTATAACAATAAACAGTAAATGTGTGTGGGTACGCCTGGGTGCTGAAGAAAGACATGAGCTGCTGTCCATGGAAACCAGTTTGAGCACATTTCTAAAGTGCATATTATTCATGTAGGAATGTTTTCTTTAAAAAAAAACAAAAACACTATATTTAAAAAAGAAAAAATGCTTTTCTGCTTTGCTCCGAGCACTGTGGTTTGTAATACTGATGAACTGTTTTGGTGTGTATGTGTGTGTTCGCAACCCTTGGACTCTGACCCTCTGCCCTCTGACCTTCTGACTGCTGCGGTCTTGTCACCTGCCTCGTGGGGGGGGGGGAATAATCTGCACAATGGCAACAATGACTCCTCTTCTCCTGGATACTTGTATTCCGTGTCCCGGGTTCAAATACGGTAATGTTGAAACCTTCTCCACCTAATTCTGGGACAAATACCATTTCTTTGCACATCTCTGCTTGCACCTCTGTCCTTCCATCAATCTAAAAAAAATTTTTAAATCTACCCCCACTCTGGGATCATACCACATCATTCTCTATGGTAAATCTGTAACTCATCACACATTTCTCTTCCTGCGATCTGTTTGGTTTGTGACGGTTATGTATGCTCTACAAACCTCTTGATTTTTTTCTTTCCCTCTCCATACATACTTTCTCTGATGCAAATGGCTGAATAAATGAATGAATGAATGATTGTTGTTTCGGGATTTTTGTGTGGTTTTGGGTCATGGCGTGTATGTCTTTGAATATGTTTCTGTGGACTTTTGGCTGCCTGCCATTGTCATGTCTCGTCTTGCCTCGCCTCACCCGGCGACTAAAGAAATCGATTCGCCTGCGAGAGGAAGCACTGGCTAAGGAACAGGTCAAAACTAAGAGTGGCCAGAGCAGTGCTGAAAAATTACGTAAGATCTTAAAAGAGGAGAAGAGGTAAGCTGACCGATTGATTTATTTACTTAAAGCTAAAAGAAAAGCCACTTCTGTTAAGGACAGCCTCATAATACCCCGCCTGTTTTACCAGAAAAATATTATTATCAGTACATGTCTTCTATTTTTCAGGATGAAGAAAAAACGGAAGAGATCATCCTCCTCCTCATCCTCCACTTCTTCAAGGACATCCTCCTCCTCCACATCATCATCGTCCTCTCGCAGGCAGTCTAAAAAGAAGAAAAAGAAAAGGAGGAAATCAGAGCGTGGAAGCAAGCGCCATCGCAGGATCTCCTCAAAGGAGAGCAGGAGAAGCAACGAGGGTAAGAAGGATAGGAAGGAGAAAGAGGAGGATGACGAGGTGGAGTGGTATCCCGCACCTTCCAATACCTCAGCTACTTTTCTCAACCAGGTGGGAGGCCTGGGGTTTGGATTGAGGGACGAGGAGCAGGTAGAAGGGAAGGATGCAGATGATAGAAAGAGTTTCAAGCTGTACTCGCTGTCAGCAGCTTCAGAAGAGGAAGAGTCTGACTCCTCACAGAGAGAAAGAAAGGGAAGGGACAGGGAGGAGAGCAGGACGAAGAAAACAAAGAGCAGCCTGAGCAGAAGCCCAGATAGAGAGAAGATTAGGAGCAGGAGTAGAGAAAGGAGGAATAGAAGTAGGGATGGTGACAGGAAGAAAGACAGAAGAAGCAGTGACTACAAAAGGAGAAGTAGTTTAGATGAAAATTCCAAGCGGAAATTATCCTGCTCGTCAGGAGAGTTGGAGTATTCGGGTCGTAAATCTAGTTACCGACCTGAGCATTCTGGAAATTCCACTTCCAAACACCCAGAGAACAGGAATGACTCATCATCCAGGAACCTCTTTGAAGAGAATAGAGGCAGGCTGGAAGTTCACGGAGCAGATCAGGTGAAAAGAGAGAAGGAAAGTCGAATGGAAGAAGGTACCATTCCAGATCAAGGACACAGTAAAAAAGGAAGTGCTGGAAATCAAAATGAACAGTGCAGCATGGGGGCCAAAAAGGACCTCCCTGCAAACCTGTTGGATATATTTAACCAGATTGCTCAGTTTGAGAAGGAAAAAGGAGTGAAACCAAAAAAATAACAAGAGGGTATGATATCCATACAGGTGTTCGGAAAAAAGGTGAAAGTAATATTAATACCATGAAACTACTCTCTGGACTGCATCAATACTCCTGATCTATGGCCAAATCTGTTGCTGATTGAATGTCACCAGCTATTTTTTTTTTTTTTAAAGTTTGTCTTTTTGCAGAAAATGAGCCGTTTTACTTTGAAAGGTTGTTATTCCCTATGTCAGACTGGAGTCCTATAATAATTTCCTAGTAACTGTTTGTCAAAATGTCCTGAAATGTTCACCTTGATGGGTTCAAACAGGTTTAACACTTTAAAATAATGCTACAGTAAATTCATATTTTTAAACTGGCAAACAGTACATGTCATATCTAAGCATGAAAATATCAGATTCAGTCCATATTATTACATTATCTTCAGAAGCATCGCCTTAGAGAATAGTGAACATTTTGACAAGCTGTTGCATAACTTTGCTCTGCAAGCTTGATCGTCTGTTCTGTGACGTTCGTTTTGCTGTCAAAGAAGTTGACTGCCTTATATTTACTGCTGTGTGCCATGTTGTACATTCTTTCTGTGGCTTGTTAAACCTCTGTCCAAACAATCCTTAAGACTATACTTAGTGCAGAACTTCCAGCTGTATTCTGACTAATTGTCTCCTGTAATAAAACAAAGTCAGTTGAGTCAGTAAAGCATTTCAAATATCAAACCTGCAAGTCGTTGAAGTCCTTTTTTTCTTCTTCTTTTTTTTTATAGCTGTAATCCAATACATGTCTGCATGTTATCTACAGTGATGAGCACTGTGTTACAGAAATGAGATCAGGTGCAGATATAATCAATTAGATGCAGTGTTGTGGAAAAGTATTTGCCCCCTTCATGGTTTTTTTTCCTTCTACATTTATTGCACTGTAATGTTTCAGATCACCAAACAAATTTTAGTATTGGACAAAGATGACCCAGGCCCATTGAATTAAGAAATCACTCAAATAGAACCTCTGACAAAAGCTTAAAAAATCTCAGAAAATGCAACACATCACGCCACTATCTAAAGTCATTCAAGAGCATTTAAGAATCAAAGTCACTGACATTTAAAGGATTACAGACCATTGCTAAGACTTTGTTACTCAAGTGGTGAACAGTAGTGAATCTTTCCAGGAGTGGCCAGCCTACCAAAATTACAACATCAACAGCATACCCAGAACAACATCTAAAGAGATGCAGTTGTCACTTGCCTCAATTAAGGTCAGAGTTCATGATTAAACTATAAAAAAGAGGCTGGACAAAAGCAGAAGACTAAAATCACTGCTGAACAAACAGAACACAAAGGTTGATCTCACATTTGCCAGAAGACATCAAGACCTATAGGAAAACATTCTGTGGACTGATGAGACAAAAGCTGAACTTTTTAGAAGGTCTGAGTCCCGTTACAGCTGGCTCGAAAAATATGTTGGTGGTAGTGTGATGGTCTGGGGTTGCTTTGCTTCTTCAGGGTCTGGATGACTTGCTGCAATTCTGCTCTCTACCAGAAAATCTTGAAGGAGAATCTCCTACCATGAGTATGTGCCCTGGGCCTCAGGCTCACTTGGGTTAAGCAGCTGGATAATGATCTGAAACACAACAGCAAGTCCAGCAATTTAAAAAAATAAGAATGTTTTGGCTTGTCCAAGTTTAGTATGATTGATATGCTTTGTGACATTAAACAGCCCATTCAAAAGAAAAATTTTGCATTTGCTCAGGATATCTTTGTCTTATATTTTACGTTCATGATCTGAAACATCAGATCAACAAATAAGTGTGAAAAACAGGAAAAAAGTAAGAAATTCTGTAGGGGGAAATGCTTTTTCAGAGCACTGTAAATGTATAAGCATCACCTGATCTCACTGTTAGATGAAACCTTGAAAGGTCTCATCCTCACAGTGATAAGACATCATAGCTTGTGTCTGGGCTCTCAATGAGCAGCTAGGCCGTCCTTCGTAGAGCCAAAGTAAATTATGCCAAACAAAAAAAAAGTCAGTGACTTTCAAAATGTTCCACTGGGCTTTGTCTTCCACAGAACTCCCAACACATTGAGAACTCATCAATTCAATACAACGATTTTAAATCGAGGACAAATCAGACTTGGGGAGGCTGTGTTTGGGGATAAATTTAAAAAGCCACTTTATAACCACACAGTCAAGGGTATTCATATCACTGTAATGTTAGAACTGTTGATATATTGAGAGTATCAAAGAGCTTATTAAAATCTGAATCAGCTTTATTGACCAGGTATGTATATACATACATTACTATTGCTTTGCTTTTTCTGCCTATTTTCATGATGTAAATGCAGCGGTGCAGAAAACCTTTAAACTTGGTGAAAATATTCAGCTGTGGGGTTCTTTCAAGTGAGTTGCACTTCTCTCTTCCACAGAGAGAAATACCACTGTATTTGCAGACACATTGCTAACCTCTCCTGGCTCCATAATATGTGTGGAAGAGGATTCATTTTCCACCAACGTATTGATCCTCTACATGCATGGAGGCTACTGTATATGGGCCTGTTTGAAGTTCTGGGAAAGTGTCAGTACTGCAGGCCTGTGTAGCTTTCCATCGACATTCGTGAAACCTCAACTTCATTCAAAAGAATCAGGATAAATCCAAAGGTTGGGAACACATGGCAACATCACAAGAAGCTGATTTAGGATAGAGTCAGAGGGTTTGTTCACCCAAAATCCAAGAGTACAAACAGTGACTCTATTCTTACAATCTTAGTAATATCAAAGACCTTCCTCATGGTCATAACACATTGTATTCATCGGCATTTAAAGTTTGTGCGTTAAACCAAAGTGATCAAAGTCATGGAAAGCTTCCTAATAAGTAATTAAGTGGGCCTTGAGTGGAGATTTATGTGGAATCACATTTTTAATGATTTGGGCAAAGTTCATACTAAGCTAGAATACCACTGAAAGCATGATAAAGACATGCAAGATCTCAAATATTAAAACACTTTAACTTGTAGGTTTTAAAACAGTAAGATGTTCCATGTAGTATTTTACAGTTTTCATCAAGCATTAACAGTAAAGCAACAAATTTTTGGCTGGTTTTGGCTCCATAATTTTCCTCTGGTCATCGAGTGGATCAATAGCCCACACCTTGAGAACGACTAACATGTACTAAAACATCTGATGTCTTCTAGTTATTGTTGTTTGTTTTGGGGTTTTTTTTTTACTTAACACATTATTACTTCTGTGGTTTTGTCATACAATCTTTAAATTGAGGCAACACTTCCCTAAAAGTCATGCCATGTAACTCACATGAGATTTCATCCTTGAACAAATTAAAGCCAAAGTGGCCTTGTGGCTTATTGGTGCTTTAAGCTACTTGGTGTCACATATTTGATTTAATAACTGGACACACACGCACACTCTTTGGTGGCTGTGGGACCAGCCGTGCGTCACCCCGTGCCAAAGTAGCTTACTTCGGGCTTAGCTGCCAGCCTCCTGCTTCCCTCCTCCATCATTACTGGTCCCATCATCAGTGATGCAGTGGAGAATGCTGTACACCCCAGTCTATCTTGTTAGGGCAGATTAGCCACTAATATACAGGCAGAAAAGAAGCCTCTTCATCTAATGCTGTTCACCACACACTCCTGATCCTGTCCTTCCTCCCCTCAGATGCCTGACATCTTAATATTATAAATACTGAATACAGGAGATCTCGCTAAGTGCTCACTCGGTGGGTCATTAGTCCCGTAAAGAACCACTGGAGAGGAGTTTTTGGTCTCCGCCAAGACGCCTCACTGAACACATGGATTATTCCATCCTAAAAAATTGTGATAAATGGATTCTCTGGCAGATTATGCTCTTCACTTTCAAATATAACACTGAATGAGGGAGAGCAGATGTCTTTTCAGAACAGCAAAAACATTTAGATTATTTTATTTATTTATTTGTTGTTTGGCCAATGAATCCCCGCAATCGTTTCCTTCATCTTGCACACCTTCACTTAATAACATGAATATTTAACACGAGCAAATGGGAAGAGAAAACCTTGTTTATCTTTAGTGAAGACAAACTATGTACATGTCTTTCCTCTGCTTTATACAGCATCATGGAAAAAGAGTAAAACAGATGGTAAAATATTATTAAAATGTCTTTACTACCAAATAGAATGTGACCCTACTTTTCTCATTTTTTTATTTATTTATTCTATTTATTTCAAGGAGCTTTATTGTCATCACATGTTAACATGAGGTGGAACGTAATTATGTACACACGGTCCCGGAGTGAAAAGAAACTAAATAACGAAGAAACTGATTTTTTTTTTTTAAGTAATAAATAAATGGTTGTTTTTGTTTGTTTGTTTGTTTGTTTGTTTTTTTAACAAACAGGAATGACAAGTAATAAAACAATACAATAAATAATACTATAAGTAGAGTGCAACAACCTGAGTACCAGTATGGCGTATGGGTTTAGAGTGTAGGTATAAATATAGGTGTAAATACTTTAGCAGCAAAGGGCATGATGACCAGCACTGATAAACTGACAGTGTCATTAAGTGTCAGCAGTGATTAAGGGGCTATAATAGCAGTTCTTGTCCATTTATGTATTGCGAAAGTCTCACAGCTTCTGGAATGAAGCTGTTTCTCAGTCTGGTGGTTTTACATTTGATGTTCCCCAACCTCTTGCCTGAGGGGAGCGGGACAAAGAGTGGGTGTGCTGGGTGAGTGGGGCCCTTCATGATACAGGTGGCCCTCTTCCTGCATCTGGAGGTGTATATGTCTGTGACGGTTGGGAGGCTGCCTCCGACAACTCTGTGCAGCCTTCACCACCCTCTGTAGAGCTTTCTCTCTGCCACAGTTATTTATTTTCAACATAAGTAAACAACATATTGCATGTCTTTAAATAATATTTCAACAATTCCTGGCTGGTTAATGCATCCTAAGATGGCAAATTATCCACCAGTCAAAATGCACATGAGATTACTTTCAATTATAATCTCAGTTCTTAATAAAAATACTTAAAGAAGGCATCGACCTACTGATTCCTCCTGGAATGTCTCTCTTTTAAAAGGGGACTTGTTTTTTTTACTCTTTAACTCTTAAAGCCTACTTTGAGTAAAGACTGTGTGTGCATCAGAAGTTAGTGAGGGTGGTCTCTGCCTACGCAGCTACCCTCAGATAAGCCCAGAAACTATTTTAATGGTCTGCTTATGTTGTTAATGGTATATACTAAGGTGTCTTTATGGTTAGTCATTAGATTTACATTTTGAATAGAAAAAAAAAGTTCTTTATTCATACTTTAAACATTAAACAGTTTAACTGCAGTTCTGCATGTTTCCACTGGAGGGCAGTGGAACACCGTGTTTGTCCACACCAGAGGTTGAATATTTGGAAAGTGCAGGCCGCTGAGCTCTCCATCCATACCGCTGGAAATGCCTGACTTTGTTTGAGTCAAGAATGGCATTTCAAGTAGGACGAATGTGATTTTTGTCTATTGATGTGAGCAAACCTGAAACAAATATTTGCACTTTATAAACAATGTTTCACTTGTTTTTAAAAAACAAACAAACATGTTTTGATTGACATTCATGAATACCACAAAATATCTAGGTCTTTAAGACATATTTCAGTTGAAGTTTTCTATTTATTTGAATTGTTCCTCTCTGCTTAATTTGATTTTTATGAATTGTAATCCATTTTTAAGAACACTCGCATTAAATAGATAAATA